GGAAAAAAAAGATGAGGGTAGTTTTGTCAATTAACTTGGCTTATATTTTGTAAATTAATTAAAATAAATAATCAGGGGCAAATATGACATTTGAAACTACATGTGTGTCATTATTAAAAAAAGCCATTGACCCTCATTTGAGTGGCATTGACCGAAACATCAGGGATGCCAATGCAATTTACCCTAATAATAATAATAATACAACTTACCAAAATATATATATATATAAATAATAATACAATAATAAATAATAAAATTAACTTATGGACCTAGGGATGGCAATGGGGCGGGGTGGGGATCTCATTCCCCATCCCCATCCCCGATAATTTTTTTCATCCCCATCCCCGCCCCCATTCCCGTTTAATATACACTATAATTTTTTTAACAAATAATTTTTCTTATTTTCAGAAATATGTTTATATATACTTACTATAATTTAGTAATATATGATAATATATAAGGGTATTTTAATAAATGTACACCCTAAACGGGGCTGGGTGGGATGGGTTTACCCTATCTCCGTCCCTGTCGAGTTTTCAAAAATTACCCCCATCGATCCCCATCCCCATCCCCATTTGCATAAAAGGGGTCCCAAACCTTCCCTAAATTAGGCAGGAGTGGGCACGGACCCACCGGGATGAGGAACTTGCCATCCCTACTTATCGTCCAGGTAAACTACTCAAGAAGTATGAAATTCATTCATTACTAAAAATTGGGTTATTGTTTATATACACAATGGCTTATAAATTTCAACCCCTCAAAAATAAAAAATAAAAAATAATAATAAAACTAAAAAGGAGAAGAAGAAAAAGAAAAAGAACAAATTACAACTTCAATAATGATTGCAAATGAATCAAATATGCGCTTCTCATGTTTTCACTGCTTTATCTTTCGTACATGAGGGGCAATGAAAACTGATATGTGTAAGGAACACTCTCTTTTATGACTAACCATAGTTTTGGATGCTAATCTTTTCGTTGAAGACTGTTTTCATAAGTTTATTATAAACAGTGATCGTACTAAAGGGACGAATTGGATTATGTAAATAAAGGACTGAATTATATTCCTTGTTTCATCGTAACACTTGCTTTAACAAAGTTACATTACAGATAATAAACTTGGTGTTGAAATTTCCAGCACAAGTAAAAGCAGTAGCCTTGTATTTCATTCTGAAACATTATGTATGTCAGCATGTGCATCACCATGTTTATTAGTGGAGATAACATATTTACAATGATCACTTTGCTCATTCAATTTTTTTTTTGTATCCGTTAAAGAGCATAAATTATTTTATTCTCAGTAAATCATTTACATAATTGTCATCGATCATAAACATCTGTTCCGGAAGTTTATAATTAACTATATATAATAGTTTTATGTGAACTTCAGAAGTTGTTCATGGACTATTATGGTGATAACAGCCTGAGCCTTCATTTTGTTCCTATAATATATATATATATATCTTCTTTTTTTTTTTTTTGTTTCAAGTTACAAGATCTATGCTTTCTTGGTCAAATAAAAAAGTACCCTATGTCACATTATTGTACATCCTTTATTACCATGAAACTTTGAATGAGTTATGCATAACAAGATGATATTACTTTATTCTCTAGCAAGCATTAGGAAAGTTAAAATAAGGAGGACCTACGGGAACAAAGATACGTCTCATGGACCACATGTAACATTAGAAAGAGCAATGCTTCACATTTAATGAGCAAAGTAGTCAGAATAATTACTTTAATAAAAAGTTCAATCGCAATACATGTCCCAATTAATTATACTTGTTTGTCTGCATATAAATAGATATAGGCATACACATACATATATGTATGTTTTTATAGTCCCAACCTACCACATCCGGCAAATGTGGGCAATTTAGGAGTGACAAAAGTTGACACAACCCGTCAACACGATTCGAATACAACACGAGTTAAATGAGTTTGGATTGATCATAAACGGGTTTGGGTCATAAACGGGTCGACACAATTAACCCGTTTAGTCAACTTGTATAACCCGTTTATACACGTTTAACTATATATGTCGTAAATAAATTCCTATTTAAGTTTTAAAATTACTATATAAACTTGTGTCTTATAATTTAATCTTTTGTAAACTAGGAACTATCTACTAATTTGGTTGATTAAAACTTATATTTTTTTTAGTATTTACTATTTTATTGAGTATTATTAATAATATATATATATATATTTTAAATAGGTCATTAAACAGATTACAAGTGTAACCCGTTTAATAAATAGGTCGAGTTAGTGTTGAGAGTTCTTGACACGATTATTAAACTGGTCGTGTTCGGGTTGAGCTGTTTAGTATAATATCCTTAAATTGACACGATACGATTACGACCCGCGAATACGAATTGCCATCCCTAAGACAATCCATAAACGTAATTTATAAAATGTACGTAATTTACGAAAACGTTTATGATATTTATCATATTTTATTGCCAAACCTAATAAAAAATAAATAACACCAGAATTTGAAGGTGTTAATTTCAAGAAATACGAGCCTTTCTTTGACATTCATCACTAGAAATTGGGTGACTATAAAATGGCTATAGAAATATTAAAAAATTATTATAACAACGTTGTTGTACTAAGTTATTAGTACAATCAATTAATACAAATACTTTGCTTTTTCAAAAAAAAAAAAAAAAAATACATATACTTTATTAAAATAAAATAGTCGGATTCATCACTATTTATTAAACCATATATTGTGAATCATTTAATTTAATGGAATTTTTATGTTGATTAGTTGTACCAGAGTCGGTAGAATCATTGTAATAATAATTTCTTAGAAATTATAACCTCTCAAAAAAATTAATAAATAAATAAATGAAAGAAAAGTTACAGTCCCAATGATTATGGCAAAAGAATACAAATCTCACAATGTGATGTGTGCATCACAACGCTTCTCAAGTAGGGATGGCAACGGGACGGGTTTGGAGCGGGTATCCCTAAATCCCGCCCCGCCTCATTTAATTTTTGTCAAGTCTATGTCCGTCCCGTGACCCACGACGGGTTGAATTTTTATGTCCAATCCCGTCCCGTTGGAAAATATTGTGTCCCATGCCCACCCCGCTAACAAATTTTTTTCCTCCACTTTTTGGGACTTAAACACTGCTATTTAAATGTGAAAAGATTGGGAATGGCACAACATAAATGAAATTATGAATCCCAACAAAAATAAAAATAAAAAAAATAACATGCACATATAATATAATTCAGAGAACATAATTAACAAAAATAAGAGTTTAATATAACCAAATCACAAAAAGTTCTAAGATTCAACTTCCACCATAACCAAAATAAAAGTAAATTTAATACCAAGTTTACATTCCAAATAAGTTATTAATATTATATATATATATATATATATATCTTAAATCTAGTTGTATGCTTAGCGGGGCGGGGCTGGGCGGGGCCCCGCGGATATGTATACTGAACTCTTACCCGCCCCGTGACTCCCAACAGGTACAAAATTTGTATTCATGCTTGCCCCAACGATATAAAAGGTGTTTTCATATCCGTTATTAACGGGGCGGGACGTGCCGGAGCTCCGACGGGGTGGTAAAAATTGACACCCCTATTCTCAAGTGTATCTCTCCTAAGAAGAGTTACGAGCTTTCATATTTTTTAATTTAAGTCTCTTAAATAATTGATTTGACTTTTTACTCATTTAAAAAAATTGCTTTACCTACTTCTTTTTCTTTTTTTTTTTTTTTTTTTTTTTTTTTTTTTTTTTTTTTTTGAAGTTAAAGCAACAACCTCCCCTTAGGAAAAGAAAGGATGATACCGCTGGTTCAATTGGTCATTTGGTTCATTGTTATAATGTTTTTTAGAAGATATATATAGCATATTTACAATGATCACTTGTGATTTTCAATCTCAATTATAGGTTAAAAAGCATTAATCATTCATTCCGGGTAAATTATATATATTAAAGAAAACGAATAAATCTAGCTTTTTAACATAGATGATGATTACGTTTCAAAAATAACATAGATGATGAAGCAATTGCGTCTCTGCAGCCATGTCTATTACGGAAGTTTAAAGCTGTTAAATAGGAATTCCCAATAATTATTTATAAGTGCCTTTAATTTGATGCCTTCAATATATATATATAACACTGAGAATTAACCATAATATCATTATATATATACCTCACAGTAAACTTTGATTTGTTTGTGACAAATAAAAGATCGGAACATTATGATGGATTTCATTCTTGCAACAGGGGCAAATGTATCATAGTCAATATCAGCTTCTTAAGCATACCAATCTTATCTTGTTTCTGAATCAGTCTACATAATTAAGGATCATATTGATTGATAGTGAGGCATTAATTAGTTCAAATATGTAAAGAGAAAGTAGATTAAGTGAGCATTTTCACTTGTCCATTAGATATGTTGATAAGAAATTTCTTACTAATTACAAGACATCTGAACTTCAGAGGTAGTTCTTGGGATAAATATTATATATGGTGATATCTGATAACAGCCTTCATTTAATTCTCAATTATTATTATTATTTTTATTTTCTAGTTCTTTAAAGTTCAAGATTATGCATCTATGACAAATAATACCATAAACAGGACAGAAACTTAATTAAAAATTAAAAGTGCGCATTATCGTACATATATACTTTATTCCCGTGTAACTTTGAATCGATTAAGATGATATACTTTGCTTTCTCATGCAAGACCCATTCCTCAACTTTGTTCTAGGCTAGCTTCTACCAAAAGTTACCATATATACAAGAGGGCCCGAGAATAAAGAATTGCCTTATGAACAATGCAACATTAAAGAGCAGTGCATGCTTTCGCATTAATTTGAGCAAAGTAGTCAAAATTAAACTTCTTTATTATTAAATGCAGTAAGAATAATTACTTTAATAAGATACCTACAGGCCAAAGTGTTGTGACAGTACCTAAGGTGCACTTGCTGAGCTGTCCCAATTGATTGATTGATTATAGTACTCCTGTTTCTTTATGTGTCTAGCTATAAGCAGCACGTATATGCATGCATGCATGTTTTCATAGTCTCGATCTCCTGCAAATTAATGGGGCAATCTCAATCTGTCAGTTCTGAAGAAGAAGGGTATGACGACACAGAAGAGGGGCGTAATGCTAGGCTTTACTATGCTCTAAAGGAAGAGAAGACTGGTGATGTGGTTACATTACGCAGAGATCGTGAAAAGTATCCTGATGGTCCATTGCACGTTCTAACCATACACAAGGACACAGTCCTTCATATGGCCGCATACACAGTGCAGCCTCAATTAGTAATTAAATTGCTACACTTGGTGACTGAGAATGATCACCGCAATTTGATCCGTCAAAATGCTATCGGAAACACAATCCTCCATGAGGCAGCCGCCTTCAACAAATTAGTAGAGGCTGCCAAAAAAATGCTAGAAATGGCACCCCAGTTGTTACGTATGCCCAACAAATCCGGAGAGACCGCTCTTTTCCGTGCAGCTCGTTATGGAAAATTTGACATGTTCACACTTCTTGAAAGGACACTTTTCAAGCAGTTCGACGTGCACACCCTAGGTGAAGAAGAGTACAAAGCATTTAGTTATCTGCATAACAAAAGGAGCACTATACTTCACACTGCGGTCATCTCGGGCCATTTTAGTGAGTTCCTCCTAGCTCCTACCTAATTTCATTATATATATGTATATATATATATATATTTAAAGGGTGGGCAAATAATTCGTGAATTCACGAATCCGAGTCGATTCAATACAATCAATACAGATTAGATCGGATTGCTACACCCACGGATTGGTACCGAATTCAAAAATATTGAATCCCTAACTCACGGATTGGACGGTTAAAATCATATCCGATCCGTGATTAGTGAGATTTATATATATACTCAAAAAATATATTAGTTAATTTAATTAGTTAATGATCATTTAATAGATTCTAATGATGTATTAGTTAATGATCATTTAAGTATATGAACTAATGTTAATAAATTGAAATTTTATCTATTAGGTTGTGGTTAAAAAATAAATTATATTAAACTATTTAGGAAAAATCCCAACCATGAATCCAATCTGATCCGATCCGTCATTACACAGATCTGATCTGATCTGATCAGTTATCTCACGGTTTAGTGACAGATTAAAATTTTTTTAATCCGTTGAGAGTGAATCAGATTAGGATTGATACATAATCTAATGCGTGGCCATCCCTATATGCGTGTCGGTGTTTGAGTTTGGAACTTGCATTTTGTGTTTAATTAGTATATGCTTTTTTTAGCACAATTAAGCTATTATATATTAAATTACCTGGTTTTTTTTTTTTTTTTTTTTTTTTTTAATTAATTCGATAGTCTTATGTTGCTGCCTAGCTTCTGTTAAGTGTTTTTTTTTTTTTTTCCTTAAATTTTCTTTTTTACAACTAACATTGCAACTTTTTTACCATGAATGATGAACAGAATTGGCCCTTAAAATTGCAAGAAGACGTCAATATTTAATTGATGAAAGAGACGAAAATGAAATGACTCCTCTTCAACATCTTGCACGTCATTCGCGGGCATTTCAAGGGAGGAAAGCAGGACACCTCAAGCATCTTCTATACAAATGTGAGATACATTTTTCCTTTTAAAAAATGAAACTCCTTATTTGATTTAGCTTTTTCTTATATCTTTTTACCATTTCATTTCCTATCTATTCTTAAACGTTAAGACCACAAAATTTGATTATTGATAATTGTAAGTATATGTGCCAAAATGTGAATCAAGTATTATTATCAGAGATAACCGAAATGTTCTATCAATTTTTACTATTATATATATCTGAGTGAGAGGAAGACGTGAACTCAGGACCTTACAAATTAAAAACTTAATTAATTAAGCTCATTATATATTTATCTAACTATTACATGCTATGGCCAAAACTAACCCCCCCAAAAAAAAAAATTGTGCTTTTCAGGTGTCTCGGAAACAAAAGTTCCTATAGAACAAGAAGGAAAAGGTACGTAATGGATAAGTATAAAATAAGTTGAGGACAATCCTGGAAACCAAAGATGTGAAGGTGATGCGTAACACAATCGTTGCTGCAACCCAACATAAAATGGGCTTGTAAAATTTAAAATCTTCTAAAGTGGTGATAATTAATGCCATATCTTGTAAGGATTTTTACAGTGATGGGTTTGATCAGAGTTGAAAAGTATGACATTGTATGATGATGAAAGGGCTATGTTGTCCAAAAACAGTTCCGCATATATATGAATGGTGGGTCAGTTGAAAAGTGAGAAGACTGATTGATTCATACGGTGGTCATTGGGCAATGGCTAAAGTTTTTATGGTGGTCACTGGGCAATGGCTAAAGTTTTGTTGGCATCCAAAAGTTGATGATTTTTTTTTTTCCCTACATAAACTAAATTTAAAAAGAGAGGAATAAGAAAATGAGAGCCAAAAATGTATAAAGTTTAAAACCTCCAATTTTCAAATTGGTGTCATAACACATTGATATGACATTGTCTGTTTTGAACCTGAGCTCTCACTGTTTTATTTTTTGATTTTGTTGTAAAAAGCATCGTATAAATTGAAGTGTACAAATCTTTCTACTTTCCATTTCCACATCCAAGCGATGCGAGATTGTGCACATGTAACTCACTCAGTGTGATAGCATGTCAGTGCCTCTGGCACCCGCCCACAGCACACCCACCTACATAAGCCACCACAATCACCCATTTAGGGCCCAACATTATCTTTGGCCACACTTCCGGTTGGGTCAAGTTTTGATACCATTTGTAACCGTCCTCATCCTACCTGCAATCTTGTCTGTTTTTGTTTCCCCTAGACTAGACTTCCCAGGAAGTCACCCATTTTGGTACCACTCATGCATAAGCAGGCTTAACTGTGAAGTTATGTGGGCAATTGTGATACACAAGACAAGGTACCACACTGGCGTGCTACGGGTGTCATGATCCCACATCAACTGAGGAAGGTGAAGGTGAAGGTGAAGGTGAAGTGTTAACGCAATATGTTTTGAAGCCATGATGGCAATAAAGCTATCATAACTCCACAATTAAGCTTGTTTATGCAGGGTAATATATTGTGTTGGGTAGGATGAGGATTGTCCTACTATTTCTAGTTTTAGAATGCAGTGAACCATCATAACTCCACAATTAAACTTGCTTATATATACAGGAGTAATGTATTGTGTTGGGTAGGGTGAGGATCGTCCGATTATTTATTTATTTATTTTTAGTTTTAGAACTGTTATGGAACTACGATTGAGAGTAGCAGGTATCCCACGGGTGTTCACTTATTATTATTTTTTTTGAAAGGTTATTTTCTTAATTTGTTGCCGTTGCATATATTTTGTGTGTTAATCTTGGGGTTTTATTTCTAACAGCTACTGACTTTGATTTCTTTAAAAGAGGACAGCGGTTGGAGATTGCCTTTGTGGGAAAAAATTCAGAACGAAAAGCTAACATATCATTTTGCTAAGCAACTAGCCAAATTCTTAGTTAAGAAAGATACTGAATCATGGAAGAAAACCAAATCTGTGGAAGAGTCGTTCTATTATAAATTTCAGGAGGGTGAGACCCAAAAGGATGGAACAGAGGCATCTTCTTCGGAGGTCGATGAAATAGTGATAACTGGGGTTCAGGAAGGTGGAACCCAAAACCCCGATGGAAGAGTGGCATCACCAGCTTCCAACGTCAAAGAAATAAAGATGAGTGCGGCGTCCAGAAAACAATCAGAAACACCTTTGTTTTTGGCAACTAAGGCAGGTTGTGTGGACATTGTTAAGGAAATACTCAACTTGCACCCTCAGGCAGTTGAGCATATTGATGATAGTGGGTGCACCATTTTACATGTAGCCATCAAGTACCGCCAATTAGAGATCTTTAAAATTGTGGAAGAAATGGGAACTCTAATTAAGAAGCTGACACAAAAGACGGACAACCATTCGAATTCCATTCTGCACATGGTTGGAGAGAAGACCGAATACAGGATTGAACAGATGATGAAAGGAAATCAAGAAAGTGCCAAGAATTCGGATTCCAATGGGGGCAAGGTTGGAGATAATAAAGAAGATCATACAACTAAAGAGACCAAGCAAAACCTTGTTCTCCAATTGCAAGAGGATTTGCTCTTATTTGAGGTATGCATTTTTACATGATATCACAGTGTATCTCCTTCAACTTAATTACTAAGATCTGGTGTGCACACCTACCACAACCAGTGATAGGGCTGTAATTTGGGCGGGATAACTCAGTCCAACCCAAAATTTTGAAAATTGGGCTTTAAATTCACAAATCGGGTTCATGTTCAGGTTGGATTTTGTCAAAACCCAGACATATTGGGTTAGGCTCGGGCTCAACCCGAACCCAACCCCAAGCGTGATTGAAAAGGTGCCTTTCAAATTCCAAACACTCTCTCTCTCTCTAAATATATGTATATGAATAGATATATGTATATGTTTCTCCCTCGAGAATCTATATTTCTCCTCCTTTTTATCACCAATTCCGTCAACACAAATATTCTCACTTTTTGCAACTTGTAATTTGTCGAAACTGAAAGATCTGGGTTTTGACTTTTTGAAAATTGAAAGATATGCCGAAATGATGTGCTAATCTGGGTTTTGATTTTTTGAACAATCCAGATTTGAAAGATCTGGGTTTTGATTTTTTTTAAATGATATGCCGATCTGGGTTTTGAACTTTTGATTCTTGCAGATAGATAGATATAACTGAAATATATGGGTTTTGAACTTCTGATTCTTGTAGATTTTGTAGTTTGTAGTTGGAGAGAGAGAGAGAGGCAAGTTTAGAGAGAATAGAGATGGAGGCCATAGGGGAGGCTGAAATGATTTGCCCTATATAATATATTTAAATTTTCGAAAAAAAAAAAAAAAAAAAACTCAACCCATCAATTCGACTCAACTCGCCTGAAAATATTTGGTTCGGATTGTGACCATAACCCTAGTTAAGTATAATTTGGGCTGGCCCAACCCAACCCGCTTTGGGTTAAAGTTGGGTTGGGACTGGACTGGACCAGCCCAAGTTGCAGCGATTAAGTGATCACCTTGATCCCCAATGCAATTGTATTTGGATGCAGAGAGTAGAGAAACACTGCTTGGAGCATTTCTACACCAATGTCAATGATAAAGGGCAAACTGCTGAACAACTATTTGCTCTCAAGAGTGAAAAACTTCTCACGGACGCCACAGAATGGTTAAAGCGTACATCAGAAAATAGTTCCATTGTTGCTGTGCTCATTGCCACTGTTGCCTTTGCCGCAGCCTACACAGTACCGGGAGGTTCAAATGATCAAACAGGCGTTCCAATTCTTCTCAACAATCCTTTGTTCGTCATCTTTACCGTCACTGACGTCCTTTCCCTTACGTGCACTTTAACTTCATTGGTTTTATTTTTGTCAATCCTCACCTCCACTTTTCGTTTAAGAGACTTTAAAAACTCTCTTCCACAGAAACTGATGTTAGGATTCACATTTTTGCTGCTGTCGGTATCAATGATGATGTTGTCATTTGCAGCCACCATCGCCCTTATGATACGTAACAAGGAACAGTGGACAAAAATTTCCTTGTACACCGTTGCGTTCCTTCCCGTCACTGTCTTTGTTGTATCATACTTGCCTCTCTATCTATCCTCCCTGAAAACTTTCAAAAACATCATCAAGATAATTGAACCGGCTTTTCCTCGGTACACTGGTTTTTGGAATTTTATTTTTAAACCCAAAACAAAAGTTCCCCCACCCCCTCCACCCACTTTGAAAAGTGTTTGAAAAGCCGAGTGAAGATGATCTCATTTAGTACTATTCTTCCGACACAGTGCGAACCATCTATACAGAAATTCTGAGCTTGTTTTATTATTATTGCTGGAGTGATTACTAGTACTGTTCTATTTTTCAAGATTTTGAGTATTGTCGCAAATACTTTGTTTTAATTTCAGTTTTTGAGTGATTCATGGGTTGTATGATTTCAGAATTTCCACTGTGTACACTTAGATCGTCGATATCATAAAAGTACTGGTTTGTATTATGTGCTTTGCACTTGTTATTGATTACCAGTACTGTTTTATCTTTATTTATTTATTTATTTGGGTAAATCAAAATTTTATTTTATCGTTGTTCATGCCTCCTCTGACTCAATTAATTTCTGGCTGAGTACGAGTTCCCCACCCAATTTCAATTTACTTAAAAAATGAGATTTCAGTATAAAGCCTTTTCAAGAGTTACAGAAATGAAGGCACAGGGACACATAATTTGTAAAAATTGTTACACTACTGCGCACGACTACGAAGCATGAAGAGGGCACTACTCCTGTAAACAAAATTTATTAGGTCTTTTTTAGGGTAAAGTGCAAAAAAAACTCCTTTCAACTATTGACCATGTGTAATTAATCCATCTGAACTACAATTTGCCCCCTTGAACTATTGAATTTGGTGCAATTAACCCCCAATGTGACATTTCCGGCCAATTGGTGTAAACGGAAATACTAAAAGATAATTTTACCCCTTATATAAAACTACGTTAGATTTTCCGGTCACTTTTCTCTCTCTAAAACATATGTTCTCTTTTGTTCACAACCAATTAAGCTTTGATCTTTAATGAGTTTACTCTGAAATAGAGATTCAGGGGAGAAAGAAAGAAGAGATTTTTTTTTTTCTTATATATCATCTCCAGGACCACCGCCAATAAGTAAACCCCAGAGCGGCAAGAAATGAATGTTGAGATTTATATGTCCTGACATAGCAAATTCCTATTTGGATTAAAGTGACATATGTTCCTGATGTATCTGAAATATTTATACTTTATACAATTGGTGAATTCAATGTATGATGTTTCAATTCATTATGGAATTGATAGTGTTTATTTGATTACAAGAGATATTTATATATTTATATGATGGCAATCAATACATGAATATAAATAATAATCATAAATTGTTCATAGTCGGTAATTCTGGATGAACTCATAATTAATTAAGACTTGAACTGGATCCGCATTAGGTTGAGATATATTGCGAAAGCCGTCGTATACAATTGCTCCCTATCACCGTCATGGCATTTGGCTCTTAAGCATGAGAGAAGTATAGACTCTTTTATTAATTAGTAATTACTTTGATTTGTTCGGCGGAATCTTCAGAATCCTTAGACTGGCACTTTGGGTAATTATGTAATTAATAATTGAGGGTTATATTTTCAATATTTGCATAATTGTTACTTGTATTTATTTTGTATTGATTATGGTTGATCACAAAGTAAATTCGAAGACCTTCGTGTGGTTTTAGACAAAATAATTTATTATATATTTATTTATTTAAATTATTATTTTTGTCAAACAATTATTTTATTGTGATTGAGTCAGAAATAATCAATGATACCAAAATAAATATATTAATTAAGTAGTCGGATTGATGACTTAATTTATCCGATAACTAATTATGCATAGAGGGGTCAAAGTGCAACATTGACTTAGAGGTTATTTATTATTTAATTGGAGTTCAATTAATTTCTTTTAGTGGAGTAGAAATTAATTTATGAATTAATTGAATTGGGTCCATGGACCGAGCCAATTATTAATTCATTGTAGCCAATAAGATAATAAGCCCAAAGAATTCTCACTCATAGCCCAACTTGATATTGGAATCCTATTAGATTTGAGACATGTGAATTAGAAATTGAGAATGATTTATTATTTCCTTTTCTTTATCTTTATGTTGCATATATATATATATATGGTCTATATATATTTTAGGATGATTTTTGGAAGAAGGAAAAAGGAATATATTTTTTCTTTCTAGAAAATTAGGGTTAATGTTCTCATCTAATGGAGGCTCCCATAAGCCTAGTTTTCCAAAGTCATTCATGGAGGCTTATGAGTGATTCCTAAAGGCAAGACAATTACCAAGAAGATGGAGATCCAAGGAGAAGGCATCTTGCTAAGGGATCTACAATAAGTGAGAACATTCACTTTAGAGGAAAGATTTAAAGGTTTACACAGACCTTTAATGTAAGAATTGAATTTGTTAATTGAATGATACATCATATTTTATTTTTGTATAAAACTTGTCTCTATGTGATGAATCAAGATCTGTGAATGAAAATCACTCGAAAAGTTTTTAAAACTAGCACGTTTCCCAACAGTAGTATCAGAGCCAGGTTTGATTCATTACTAGAGATCATGTTTTTATCAAAATTCATCATTCATGGATCCAATTTTGATATGCATATATTTATTTATTGATATATGCTGATGTATGAATTAATATATTGATATATATTGATACATGATGATGTATGTATAATTGTGAATGGATGATGATGTGTGTTTGGGTTATGGATGAAGCTTATAGGTTAATTGAATGTAATTTTATCTTTGAATGAATGTAATTAAGGCTTTGATTTAGCCGTTTGAAAGTTCAATGATGTAATTTAATTTTTTCCATTGTATTTCAAGTTGTAAATATTTATTAAAGCCATGCAATCTTTATCAAACGGTGCTATGAAGCTTCAAGAAGGTCTAAGAGGGTTAAATTAGGCTTCAGGAATTTTCTGGAATTTTTTAGAAATTTTTCAAAATTTTTCTGGATTTTTTATGGATGAAGTTTATTTTTTTTGGAATTTAATATTATTTTCGGCGATTTTCAGGCGACCGGAGCATCGCCGGCGGCAATGGTGGCGTCGGAAGAATGAAGGAGGATCTGGTGTGGCACGGTACACCAGCCTATCGTGCACTTGGATCCTAAACCATTGGATTAAGCATATGGGATGGGAAATTATCCCATGCGGCGCAGCGTTGGTGCGCTTAATCCAGCTAGCACGTGAGGAACACACCACGCGCCAGCAATATCTCACTCCCACACGCGCATGGCAGCGCGTGAAAGCGCGTGCAACGCGCCTGTTGCTTGCACCAGTGCGTGGCAGCGCATGTACTGCAGCTCCTTCAAGCGCGTGCGGGGCCCTCCGGGCGTGTTCCAAGCATCGTTTTGCTTCTCTTAGCCCGTACCAGCTTCCTATAGATGTTTTCAAACCATTGGTGGACGCCCGTACAGCAAGAATAATATTTAAATGTTAAAAACTGATTCCATTGGCCATTTTTATCTGTCAGTTATTGATGTATGTGATGCATGGAATAGATAATTGTTTATTAATTATTATTCATGCATTGGATCCATGATATTTAATTAAATGACTTGATTTATATTAATTAAATTATGAAAATTAATTGGATTTGATTACTAATTAATTTAAGGGCACTTATTGGGAAACGAAAAATTATTTTTGTAAATTATTTTTAAAGTGTGCTTCAAATTAAATATTAGTGAATCATTTAGAAGTTCAAATATTTTCTAAATTTAATTGGATTAAGATTAAGGCGTTTTGCATGCATTATATCATGTAAATGACTAAAATGAAAACCCTAATTATGAATGATTAAAAAATTGAGTGGGAGCAGAGATTTTTATACATTACCCTATAGCCTTCGTTATTATAACCATTATAATTAGATCTTCAAAAATAAGGCCCCACGCATGATTTGAAGAGTCTAAAAATTACAAGAATGGTTGCCTTATGAAAATAAAAATATTAAATGTTCATTATAATTAGATCTTTAAAAATAAGGCCCTACGCATGATTAAAATAGTCTAGATTATACTGACAAGATATTTAATGTTTTATTTTTCATTGGAGCATTAATAACGTTATACACTCAATCTAAAATCAATAGTGTTAGCTCCCCAACGGAGTGGTCTACACTAGGTGATTTTAGAAAGACTAAACATAATCGGAAATCATTTCATATAAATAGACAAGGCATTGTCTTAAGAGATATGGAAATGATGGAATTTGCTCACCAATAGCAATAATGAATTTCACCAACCAAATAAGTTATTGGCGTATTGGTTATTCGATTTTTCATGCAGTGGTTAAGGGACCCACAGATATATTTTAATGGAAGTGCTCGCTTAATAGCAAATGAATCCTGCCAATAGCAATAATTAACTTCGCCAACCGAATAAATTATTGACGTATTAATTGTGTGATTTATTATGATATTGAATTGAGGGACTCACATTAACTAAAAGAGATTGTTCACCAATAGTGATAATGAAATCTTATACTATTGAGATTTATTATACTATGTGGTTGACAAACTTATTTTAATTTTAAATATGTATGATAGAATTAATAATTCACCTTGTACATTGTATGAATGCATTTATATTCAGATATTATGTCTAATCCATTTTTTCTAGCTTGCTTACATATTCAATATATTGGGACCTCATTTATTTTGACTGAAAAATGAATTTAGATATTTTATTCACAACGTAGTGGTACAAAATATATATTTACTACTCCTAAACCTAGTTCTTTTACTTTAAGATACCCAATAGAATATTAATGCTTTTAATAAGTGAAATAAGACAAATGATAGGACTTGGTGCAATATTCTAGAGTTTATCTCAAATACGCTCCAAAACTAACATTTAAATTATTTTATTTTCTTCAAGTATCATGTTAAAAATCAATAAGATGTTTTGGTGAGATTACATAGAGTTTATGCCTAAGTACTATGCCAAATTTAAATACCATCAAGATAGCCTAAGGATCTCTAGTAAAAGATTGAATTTTGGAAAATGATTATTTATTATTTAAAAATTGAACTGGAGGTCAATAGGGCTGACTTAGGTGGTAAGTTTGAAATCGATATGATTATTGCCTTGTTACCAAACTCGTTCGGCTTTTTCAGAGTGAACTAAATTAGGAATCAGTTTGAGTTCACACTTACTGATATTCTTATAGAATTGGTAACTTATGAAGGGATAATCAAAAGTATAGGCGTTCCTATCAATCTAACTTAGTCTATACCATTTTCTTCTAAGCCCAAGTGGAAGGGCAAAGGAAAGAAGAAGGATGATAATAGGACTAGGCTAACACAAAGCATGGGTATCCAAAAGGTTAAAGGGATTAAGACAGTGTATGTTGAGGGCGAAAAAAATTGTTTCTTTTGCCGCTAACTAAGACACTAAAGAACGAACTTTTTAAGTAATGACGTAGTATAAGAAAATATATATTTAATCATTGAGTCATATTATGTGGTTGTATCTATGAA